AATATTGGGGTCTGCTGTTCATTTTGCCAGTTCTATGCTGGGTTTCTATCTGGGAGTCCCTTTGGCGACCCTCGCCAACAGCTGAAAGAAGGTATCTCCTATCTGGCATTGTTGCTTATCATGTAGCTTTTAGCTATGCATATGAACTCTTAAGAAATTATATTGGCCCCTTTAATCTTTGGTTATACTTTCCTTTTGTGTGTTTAAGGTCATAGAGTTGGCCCAGATAAACCAATTTATTTTTACTCTTAAGGTTGTTTGAGGATCTGTTCTTCAGGGGTCACATGGGGCTTGGGAGGAGCCCCTGGCTCCTTTCTTTTACCAGTTCTGCCTATGTGAAGACAAGTCAAAGGTCCTGCTTGACCATGGTTGGCTTCACTTGGAAGCATAGAGGAAATAATTCCTCTGTGTTGACCCTCCTCTTTGTAGACTGGACACTGGTTCAAGTCCATCTGGTGGGGTCTCCCCAGCCTCCTTGATCAAGAGGACAGGTGACCCACCACAATTACTGGACATTTTGAGAGATGCTGATAGTCCCCTGGAACTTCTTCTTATCACACCATCCTCTGAAGAGGTTACCCAATTTGAAAATAGGGATCAGGACACAGACTGCTCTGGCTTCTTTCATGCTGAACAGGGATGCAGGGTGAAGCAATTGGAGTACCCCTTTGGTGGGTCTATCTAGAAAACTCCCAAACTGCATACCTCTTATCACCATGTGGTGGCAGGATCCAGGCGCTCTCAGGCAGGCCCCTGCTCAGTCCCTATGCCAGAGGGAGGCCAGAAACTGGCACTCTTTGGCGGTCTCGAACCTCTGGGTTTTTATCTGAGCTAAATGTTTTAAATATGTTTAAAAATGTTTTACTTTAAGTGAAGAAACTGAAAGTATACTTCCGCATTACCGTTTATAGGGGCTCATGTAATCCTCTCTTTAATTTATAGCTTCTAAATCGACAGAAAGTATTCCCTCTGATCTGTGTCAGATAAAGGAGTGCATTAGTGTCTTGTTCATGTTCACCAGGAGAGTGAATGAAGATACTCAGTTCCATGGTGATATTCTTCTCTGGCTGCAGAAATTGGTAAGAGAACAGATATAGACAGAGTCTTTTATATGGCTTGGACAATTTAAGAATTATGTCTTATTTTTTTTTCTTCAGCTTTTTTAGCTAATTCATTTAATGAGCTAGTGACTTTCTTTGATTGTAACAAGTTATTTGTCTAGTGCATTATTGAGCAAAAGATACTTCTCTCTCTAATGAACTCTGGCTTTCAGATTAGAGTCGAATTTAGGAAGAAATGGCAGTGTGGGAAGTCTGCCACATCTGAAGCCCGGCTGCTCACTCACCCAATGTCTGCTTGTGTTTGATGATGAACTTAGTCATACTTAAAACATTTTTTTTAAGAGAAGAAAGGTGTCAGGATTTGGAAAATTTAGGTGTGTCGTTGTTTATTGGTTCTGTTTTTCAACATTAACTGCATTTTTTTAAGGGTCCCATATTACAGTTCTTAGGCGTAGGGAGGTGTTCCAAGCATATTTGTTTGGATTTAAGAAACTATTTCCAGCCAAGAATAGAATATATTGATTGTCTTAAATCTTTTTTTACCTGGCCAGGAATATTAGTGACTTGTAACTTATCAGAAAATAACAGTTAGATTTGTATAGAAGCTGCTTAAGATGTGATGTGTTTTTTTGTTGTTGTTGTTTGTTTTTATCCTAGTACTTAAAGATTTATAGGTCTCTAGGGTGGAAACTCAACTGCAGTATATCTTCTGTCTGGGTATTCTTGAAAGGGTGGTTGCATGAACTTCATCATGGAGTAAATGACTCTGCTAGGTCACTGTCCAGTTGTTCTTTTAGTTAGTGAAGCCGTGAGTCCTTTATCGTTCAGGTGTCAGTGTTGCAAAGAGTTGGCTGTCCTGGAGATCATCTCTTCCTCCTCAACCACATTCTTCGGTGCCCAGCTGGTGTTAGTAAGTGGGCTGTTCCTTTCATACAGGTATGATGATGATCTTCTGATTTTTTGGGTTGGGGTAGAGGTTTTGTTAGGTGTTTTTCCTGAAGAAATTGCTAAACAAACAAGGCCTTCTTTAAATTAGTGCTTTTAAGTAGATTTTAAAAATTTATTTTTTATTTATGTGTATGTGTCTGTGTGAGTTTTGTACACCACATGTATATACATGCCCATGGAGGCCAGAGGGTGTCAGATCCTCTGGCACTGGAGTTACAGGTGGTTGAGTTACCTGAGGTGGGTACTGGGAAGTGAACTTGGTTCTCTGGAAGAACAGTGAGCTCTCAACCACTGAGTCATCTCTCCAGCCCCTTATAAGATTCTTTTTTTTTGTTTTGTTTTTTTTGAGACAGGGTCTCCCTATACGCCCAGCTGCCCTGGAACTTACTATAGACCAGGCTGGCCTTGAACTTTTGAACTCACAGAGAGCCACCTGCCTCTGCCTCATGGTTCCTGGGATTAAAAGGCATGTGCCACCACACTCAGCCCTTTCTATAAGATGCTTAAACCAGATCTAGTGTATACATGTAGGAGGAATTATGCCAGAACTTCTTGGGCCACTATAATTGAAGGAATTTTTACAGAATTGACAAAAGTTCAGTTCTGATCTAGCTAGCTTGATGAACTCAGCATTATTTAATTCTATAATATTTCTGTGCAGGAAGACTCACCAGGACTATTTTCTGCAGTACTCAATACAACTTTCTAAATTAATCCGTCTCATGCCATGGTTGGTACAAGTGAAATAGAAGCTACTAGCAGCACGGCAGAGACTCCAGGCCTGCTAGCAACTCTATGTACTTTGAAGTTGACCATATGGTTTACAGTTTCTCCTCTCTGCTGCGTGCCTTTGACTGTTTTATTACAGCGAACACTCAGCAGGATGTATGCCAAGTTCAACTCCACCACAGTTTCCTTATCTTAATATTTCCGGTGGCATGATGCCTAAATCATTTTAAAGAGGAGAATATTTTGTGTTGGTTTTGTTCATCTTGGTTTTAAAATAGCAGGACTGTCCTTCCTCCCAAGCTGCTGCAGATAGTTGATGCCCGCTGCCCAGGCCCCTTTGCTCTTTGAGCACCGCAGTGCTGCCAGGTAGCCACAAGCTGTATCTTGTGCTTCTGGAGTAGATGTCAGGTTTAGCTTGTTTTCAGTAGCATCTTGGTTGTTGCACTGCTTGTGTTATAGATACTTGAGATAGTGTTCTATAGTATATTTTTTCGTTTTCTGATTTCAGATCAAAGTGTTGAATAACCCATCAGGGGTCTTTCATTTTATGCAGTCCCTTGCCCTGCTGATGTCTCCTGTCAAGTAAGTGTGGAAGAGCTTTGTGAAGTAAAATTTAAAATACTTCTAAGAATTGGTTTTCTTCACTGCCTTATTCCAAAGAGAACTGCTAAGGGAAGTGCCCCCATTCTAGAACTTCACATTGCAGTTTTCTTTGAGTTTGATATTCCTTGTTCCAAAGTGACTCTTCCTCTTCTAGCTACTTATTAATCATTTTTGTGGTCTCCTTTTTTTTTTTTTTTTTTTTTTTTTTTTTTTTTTTTTTTTAACCTTGTGAACTCACTATGTAGACCAGGCTGACCTTGAACTCACAATGATCCACCTGCCTCTACCTCCTGAGTGCTGGGATTAAAGGAGTGCGCCACCACGGCCAGCGTGGTCTCCTTTTTAAAGTGGGTTTATCTCTCATTGTAAATGTCATTGTGAGATGTTATATTCCTTAGAAGAAGAGATTTAGTTCTGCTGGGAGGCAGGGGTGGCAGATTTAAGTGCTGAACTGTAAAGCTGTGATCACTACAGAAGGACTGCAGAGAATAAAGAGGTGAGTGAGCAGTCAGCATTAATAATTCAGTGTGGCCGTGGGTTCTCTACTGAAATTTATGAGGTTTTAGCATCCCTGATTTTCAGCCAGTTCTGCTTCCTTATTTGTTAATTTGAACCATTTGGCAGGAAGATTTCTGATTCTTTTTTGGTGTGAGCAAATGATCCAGAATGCACTCATGTCAGGCTCTTCTGTGTTTATGTGGTCATATTCATGTCTGTTGTCCTTTAGCAATCGAGCAGAATTTCTGTGTCACATGAAGCCCAGTGAGTGGAAGCTATCATCTTCGGGGCCTGCGTCTGGGACTTGGACACTTGTAGATGAAGGGGGAGAAGAGGTAACATGTCTGTGTTGTTTCAGTTGATAATTTTTGAGCTCTTTGTATGTGTCAGGTATTGGTCTAAGTACTTTCCCATGTTTTCTCACCACCGACATGCCTATGAAGTAAGTATGTTGAGACCCTCATTTTACAGATGGGGAAATTGTGGTACAAGAGGGTAAGGTGAACTGTCCTAGATCATATGCTCATTAAATACAGAGGCTCTGGAGTGACTTCTCCCCCTAGTGTGTTGCCTTGCCTCTCTTCTCTAGAAGTGTTCAGATAGCAAATTTGGGAACCAGAAAATGAAGTCGAATAATCCTGTGTGAAATTAATGTTAGGGTTTTATTTTGCATAGTAACAAGTTCCTGGGATTAGAGTCTCACTATAGACAGCCTGGTCTGAATAACTGTGAAGAGAATTTAATGATCAAAATCTAGCGATAATTTTTAAAAAATTTAAGATAATTCTTGTTGATCTTTTATTCTTCCATAAACTAGTTAGTGATATATTTGTAAGGAAGTTTTCCTCCAGCTCATTATCAGCTCTAGTGCTTCTTTGTGGCTCAGATTCTGATTTGGTGAGCAAGATTGCTCAGTGGGTAGAGACCTGAGTTTGATCCCACTTGGAAAGACAGCTGATTCCCAAAAGTTTTCCTTTGCCCTTGTTCCAGTTTGCTTCTCTGTTGCTGTGATAAAACACTCACCAAAAGCAACTTGGGGCGTGGTGTTTGTTTCACTTATACTTCCAGGTTACAATCCCACTGTGGCTGGGCCCTCCACCATCAACAATCAAGAAAATGCCCCACAGACATTCCTTAGGCCAGTTTTATGGAGTAAAGTTCTCAATTGAGGGTCTCTCTTCCCAAATGACTCTAATTTGTGTTAAGTTGACAAAAAAACTAACTGGCACAGACCTCCACACATTTGCTGTGGCATGTGCACAAGTGCTCATACACATGCACACACAAAGATAAATAAATACTTAAATAAATGTAATATAAAACTTGAACTCTTCCTCAAATCTTGATTTGATATTCTAAGATGCCCAATGACCAGATTAGCTAAGATCCCTCTCTGTATAAGGATTGAAATTGGGCGGCAGTCTCAGCATGACACCCATGCTGCTCTGGGGAGTCTGTGGGTATATTGCACCAGGTGTCCATTTAGAAATGAGTGTTCTTGTTTCTTGCTTTGTTCCTCCTGGCTTCCTGTGACTTGCACAGGTAGGCAGGTGGTGGGAAGAGATGGAGTGCAAACACCTTTGGCTGGAGGCTGAGCCTAAGAGAACTTCTCAGAAGCTGGCATAAATTGTCTTTGAAAGATTGTAGTAGAATTATTTTTTTTGTTATTTTTTTCTAGAGTGGTCTTTCTTAAAAAAAAAAAAAGAAATACTTTCTGGTAGGTTCCCTATATTTAACTCCAGAGACAGATTCTGCATTGGTGCCTGGTTCTTGATTAGCACTCAGTAAAAACATTGAGTGGGGGCTGGAGAGATGCCTCAGTAGCTTAGAGCACTGGCTGCTCTTGCAGAGGACCTGGGTTCAGTTCCCAGTACCCACATGACACCTAAAACCATCTGTAAATCCAGTTCCAGGGGATCTGACATCCTCTTCTGACCTGTGGACATTGCGCATGTGGGTGTACTTACATACATGCAGGCAAAACACTCATATATGTAAAATAGAAATAAATAAGTAAATAAAAATGTTGAGTGAATTCAAGAATTCCAGAAGTTAGGAGTCAGGGAGCATGGTGCTTGGGAGGCTAAGGAAGAAGGATTGCAAATTCTAGGACAGCCTGGACTAGATAGCAAGATACTAAAAAAAATCCAGACCAAAAAAGCCAACAACAACAAAAACCAAAACAAGCTACCTCCCCCAACAGAACAATCCAAACAATTAAAAACCTGACAAAACTAGCAAGCAAGCAAAAAGAAAAAAAAAACACCCCACCCCCTAAAAGAACTTAGGTAGTATATGAGAAGATTAAGAATTCAGCTGGGTTTTTTGTGCGCATATAATACAGAACATTCCAGAAAATCTTATTCATTTATATACCCACTTTCCAAATGGCACGATCCCATAGCCTCCCCCCGCCCCCGCACTGGAGCCCATATACTCTGTCATCCCTGTTTCTGTCCACTGTGTTGTTGGCGCCCCTCTATACTCAGGTGCCAAGGATCTGAGTGTAACCAACTGTGACTAGTGATAATCAGATACATAGAGATTAGAGACACATGTGCAAACATCTAAATGTTAGTAGCATTAAAAATGACTCTTTCTGTAGGAAACAGCATATTTTATTTTATTTTTTAATTTTTGTCTTTTTGAGACAGGGTCTCCTTGTAGCCCCAGCTGTCCTGGAGCTCGCTATGTAGACCAGGCTGGCCTCAAACTCACAAAGATCTGCCTGCCTCTGCCTCCGGAGTGCTGGGATTAAAGGCCTGTGCCACCACACCTGGCTTTGGAAACAGCATATTTTAAAATGGAATGGAGATCTTTTTTAAAGGTTAAAAACCCACATGGCAGCTAACAACTGTCCGTAACTCCAGTTCCAGGGGACAGCCTCTTCTGTCCTCTGCGGGCATTGCATGGCCTGGGTACACCTACCTACATGCAGGCAATACATGCATTCATACACATAAAACAAAAATAATAAATAAAATATTAAAAAACTCATTCAATTCTATGTCTTACAGGGTTTATACTGAGTTCAATATTGTATAACTGTATTAAGGCATCTGTGAACCTAAGAATTTACAGCCACTTTTGAAAGAGATGTATCCTTGCTCTGGAAATTGTTGTTGACTATGTTAAAACCAATGAAATGCTTCTTCTAATCATGTGGTTATTAAATAAAAAATAAATAAATAAATGTTTAAATATTAAATTCCAAAAAAAAAAAAGAATTCAGCTGGATTAGAATAGGCTGTGGGGAGGAAGGTACTGTGGTTTATTCACATCATTTGTTCCTCACAGCTAGCTCTACATAAGAATCATGTGGACAATTTATAAACCTTGCCTTGGCCCACATTTAGACATCCAAGTGTTTCAAGCCCATCTGGTAATTCTTTCTTTAAAAAAAAATTTATTTTTTTTATTTTATGTGTTGAGTGTATTGCATGTGTGTAGGTGCAATGCCTACGGAGATCAAAAGAGGGTGTCAGGTTCCCTGGAACTGGAGTTATGGACAATAGTTAGCCACCATAAAGTTGCTGGAAACTGAACCCAGTTCCTCTGCAAGAGCAGCCAGTGCCCTTAACTGCCGAGCTATCTCTACAGCCCCCATTTGGTAATTCTAATGTTCAGCTACAGTCAAAAAATACTGCTCTAAGTAGAGCTTCTGAGACTCTTGTTAGTCATTATGTACATGGTGTTATTCCATTTTGCATTATTGAAACACCTGAAGCAAAATAGCTTTATAAGGAAAGAAGATTTAATGAGCTGACAGTACTAGAGAGTGAAAGTCTCAGTAGCGTGACACAAGCGCTGACGAGGGCCCCATAATAAATGGCATAGGGCAGGTAATCTTACCTCAAAACAGGAAGTTTGAGAGCTGGGTGAGGGCCAGACATGCTCCTTCCATAGCAGCCTTCTATGAGAACTACTAAGAGGTCCTATGAGGACTTCTTTAATTTCTTCTAAGGAAACACTATCAATGATTTAAGGACTTCTCACTAGCCGCCCCCCCTTGCCTCTCAGGTCATAGAAGTGGTGCTCATATTTATATCTATAGTAGAAATGGGATGAACGCATACGGTCTTGGGCTGCCTAACAGCCCTCAGTGTGTCTATGAGCTCAGTACAAACTCTGTTAGAGCTCTCTATGATGACATCACCCTCTTCTCCATAACACTCCTGAGGCAGAGAGTGTCAACTGGCTCAGACTGGCGATGTGTTGTAGCAAGTTCTTCAGGCCACTCACAGAGAGATAAGACCATAGAAATTGACCATGGTGAGCTGGGAGTAATGGCTCAGGACAGACAGGAGGCCACTGAGGTCAGGTGGACTCAAAAGACAGCCTTCCAAATCTAGGGTCTGCAGAGTGTTGTCAGTCTTTCTAGTGGAAAGTGGAAGGACTGACTATGCCAATAAATATGTCGGATACCACCCAGATTTAGGTGTTTGAGCTGACAAATGCTAGCGCACTCAGATAATACCAGTCTGACTCTGAAAGTCTGCACCAAGTAAGTGAGAGTGTCTCCAAAGGCTTTTTCAGGTACCTCAAGACTTGGTCCAGGTGGTCTTCATGAAAATACACATTATTTATATAGAGATATTGCAGAGTTTCCAGTTTGGTGAACTGAGAAAAAAAAGGTGTTGACTCACATCTTCTCCAGATCGCTATACTTGCCTTAAAACTCAACCCTCCATGACTTGCAAATTTCTCTGAGAAAGAGTGTGTGATGATTTCTCATCTGGCACAGGAGGGGGGCAAATGTTAGGCTCTCTCATTTATTTTTTATTTTTTGGCCTTTTTGGAATAGGGTCTCCTTCTAGCCCCAGCTGGTCTGGAACTCACTATGTAGATCAGGCTGGCCTTGAACTGCCTGCCTCTGCCACCCAAGTGCTGGGACTACAGGTGTGCGCCCACCACGCCCGACCTAGTCCTGTCTTTTAAAGGTTGCATATCAACTCCTTATACTGTCAGTTTTATGCTTCCAACACATGAATCATGGGGGGTGAAAATAGAACTAAACTATAGTAGACATATCAGAGGATCAAAAGGAATGTGCTCAGGATATTATTAATGAATTAGTGAATTGATATGTTCACATCCTTCCCTAATTTAGTGTTAGTATATATGGGGACACAAGTCAACTTAATTTCTAATTTAAGGCTTTGTATCAAACAAGACTCCAAAGGCATTCCCTCCATGATCTCTGTACTTGACCACTGTTACTGTTGTCCAGCCTTCAGAATTTGAGGCATCTGTAGCAAATACTGCTTCTTCAAAAGTCTGTTGAGCAAGGGAGTAGACCTGGATTTTTAGAAAGAGTTGTAGCTAAGATAACTTGTCGTGTAGAATAGGGTTCTTTAATTGATTCTGTCAGTGAAGGGGGTCTCATAGTAAGGTCCTCGTTCTAGAGAATTGTTTTATTTCTGTCTTCTTAACGGACATTTAAAGAGAACTGAACAATGGATACTACCCAGATACATGTAAATTATGCTTGTAATTTCAGAGAATTTCCAGGCTTTCTATGGATCTGAGACTATATACTTCTTGGCCCTTGAGGAAAAATCTATAAGGATCACATTGAGACTTGGGATGATTTCACCCCTTTAACTCCAGACCATAGTGTGATCTCACCTTAGTTAGCTGACATGATTTGGCATCTTCCCTTTAGGATGAAGACCCAGAGACCAGTTGGATTCTCCTTAATGAAGATGACTTGGTCATCCTTTTGTCCCAGTTTCCTTTTCATGAACTCTTTCAGCATCTTCTTGGGTTTAAAGCAAAAGGTAGATAATTTTTTTGTCATAAATGAAGGTTGGTAGTGGCACAAGCTCCACATAAGGAAGCATCAAGTCCTGCCTTGTGGATGGGCTGTGGATGGGGTATTTCTGTGCCTACTTATTCTAAACCTCCTTTCTCTTGTGTTTGTAATTTCTTGCTTAGTACTTAAATGAAGAGGGCTGACTAGCTTACATGGTAGTGAGGTTAAATACCTTGTTTTAAATTATGTATATTCCCTCAAGTTCCCTAATTCATTTTGATGTAAGAGCCAGAGTAATGGGATTGTTACTTCCTTTCCATCCTGGTTTTCTCATTGAAGTATCAAAGTACTATAATTTTTTCCTTTTCTCACCAATTAACTTCTAGGTGATTATTTACCTGAAACAACAAGACCTCAAGAGATGATGAAAATTTTTGCCTTTGCCAACTCATTAGTGGAACTTCTGGCTGTGGGACTAGAAACTTTTAACAGGGCCCGTTACAGGCAGTTTGTGAAACGCATTGGTTACATGATCAGGTACTGCTGCTGTTGGTGCATCTGTTTCTGCTTTCACCTTGCTCACACACAGATACTCTATGAATGGAATCATGGACATTTTATACTCAGGAAAATACTGAGGTATTTTCCACTTATCTACAAGATGGAAAATTTATCATTGTTTCTAGTGATAATAGTTGGTTAATTATCTTAGATGCAACTGATTTGTTAGATAATTGTTCTTAGAGTTCTGATCCTCAAAGCTGCTGCTGGGTTAAATCTGGGCCGGAGGAAGGGTCAAGGAAGCTATAGGCTTTTTGCTTCCTTTGTTCCCTATTTCTGTCTACATCCTGTTTTGTCTTGGAATGGGCACTGACTGGGTTATGAAAAATGGGCACTAGTTCTTTAGTGTTTCTCTATCACCCCTCTCCCAGTTATTTTATTTCTATTTGTGTGTATGTATGTGTGACTGTGACTGTGTAGGCCAGAAGGTGTTGAATTCCTTGGAACTGGAGTTACAGGCAGTTATGAGCTGCCTGACTTGCTAAGATGTCTGGTTGTCTGCAAGAATAGCAGGGCTACTTAGGGCTCTTAACTGCTGAGCCATCTTCAGCCTGCCTCTTCCCAATTCTTATTCTAATTTATGGTAAATCATTAAAAAATTTTGTTATTTAAATAACTCTTATTTCAACTGGGTAAGCATTGTGATGTATTTGGGTGAAAAATGGATTATATAGTTTTATTATCAAGTGTTTTCATGAATTCTGAGTTTATGTGCTCCCTTTCTCTGCATTGCTTTCATGCTCTTTTTTTCTATGTAATCAGTCTTTGCTGGATTATTCCCTATAGCACATATATTGGCTTATTATTTTTCCAACCTCCTTCCTCAAAAATGATTCATAAAACGACAAAATTTTCCCCCTTCTTCACTTTTTTTTTTTTTTTTTTTCGGTCTTTTTGAGATAGAGTCTCCCTGTAGCCCCAGCTGGCCTGGAACTCACTATGTAGACCAGGCTGGCTGTGTACTCAGCCACCTGCCTCTGCCTCTTGAGTGTTGGGATTAAAGACATGTGCCACCATGCCCAGCATACACACAGATTTTAAAGAAGAAGAAAAAAAGCTAAAAGCCGATTTATCTGTTATTATCAGAAGTCCATCCAGACATTGGTTTTCTTTTTTTTAAATTTTATTTATTTTTGGGGGCTGGAGAGATGGCTCAGCAGTTAAGAACACTGGTTGTTCTTGCAGAAGACCAGGGTTTGAATCTCAGCACGCACATGGCAGCTAACAACTGTCCATAACTCCAGTCCCAGGGGATCTGACAGCCTCTTCTGACCTCTCCAGGCATTGCATGACATGCGTGCACTGACCTACATGCAGGCAACACATGCATACACATAAAATAAAAAAAAAATTAAAAAAATTACTATTTTTATCTTATTTATATGAGTATTGTCTGTATGTATGTAAGTGTATCCGCGTCTTGCAACGGCCATGAGGTTAGAAGAGGGCATTGGATCCCATAGAACTGGAGTTACAGATGGTTGTTAGCTGCCATGTGGGTGCTGGGAATCAGACCCAGGTCCTCTGCAAGAGCACCCAGTGCTCTTAACCACTGAGCCACCTCTCCTGCCCCCAGACATTTGTTTTCTGACTGTGCTTGATAAAGTTATACATATGATTGGTTCTTTAGTTCATGTATATGATACATAGATGTATGCTTACTATGTGTCAGGACTTTGCTTTCTCATTTTATTATCTCAATAACTATAGGAAATGGATTACTGTTTTAAGACCATCATTCATTCTTTACTACAAAATGTCAATATTTACATGAATAAATCTTTTTCCTCCGTTGGCTTACCTTTCTTTGCATCTATCATAGATATTTCTCAGACGTTATAATTGCAGAAAAATTTTCCATATGTCCCTCTTGACTGAAGCCTTTTCCACTGCCCTTGCCATGCCCCCTCTATCTGAGACATTCTTTATTCCCTCTTCTCCTTTGTTTACTTAATTTTGTTCTGTGTGCTTTCCACTATTGCATGCTCCAGGAGGGTGGGTTTTTATGGTTCTCATTAAAACTACCTTTGGACTGGAAGATACTAGGTTCTCAGTAAATGTTGAGTATGTCAGTTCTTCAAATGCAATGTAAAGGTGCTGATACTGAGTAATTGAAAGGGCTATACTGTCTTTCCTCATGTTCAGGATGACCCTCAGCTATGTCAGTGACCACTGGGCGCAGTATGTAAGCCATAGCACAGGCCTGGGATTAGCACTGCAGCCCTACTCCATGGAGAAACTGCAGATTGAATTTGATGAGCTGTTTCTGAGAGCTGTCCTACGTGTGCTGAAAGCTAAAAGGTAAGAGGTTGTTAATTGGTGAGAGCTTCCTGGCTAGGAAGGACGATCAGGGTGAAAGTATACATAAATGGGTGTCTAGAGCAATGTCGGTGTATTTCATCTATTTCTTTAGTAAATTCTTGGTCTTTAGTTTCCCTGCCCCTAGGGTAACCCTATCACTCTTGGGCCTATACTTGTACATAACTTAGCACACACATCTGCATCTAGGGGAAAGCCTCTGTCATTGAGGTCTATAAAGGATCTTTGGTTTAAAAATTCAACTTTCTCTTAATATTCTCTATATGCCAGATATATGGCTTCATGTATAAATTTAGGATAATTCTGTATTAGGGTTCTCTAAAGAAACAACCAGTAGAATGAATATATATATGTATATGTATATATATACACATACATATATACACATATACATATATATACAATATATGTATATGTATGTATATATTCTATTCTCACCAGCAAGAGAAGGCAAGCAGCAAAAAGTAAATGCTCTCCTCTGCCCTGGCCTTTTATATGGGCTGCCATCAGAAGGTAACACCCACATTTAGGGTGTGTCCTCCAGCTTCAGATGATCCAATCAAGAAGATCTCTCTCATTTCAGTTAATCCCAGATCCAGTCAAGTTGACACCCAGGATTGGCCATCACAAATGCCAATAAATATTGCCTTTGTTTTAGGTAGGATGGAATGTGTTGATGTTATATGCAGATTGAGCATCCTTAGTACAAAATGCTCCAAAAAGTTTTAGTGCTAGCATGTTGTCATAAGTGGAAAAGTCCACATTTTACTTTGTTTGATGTGTCAAAGTCAACACATGCACAGAAACATATCATACAAAGTTCTCTTTAGGGCTCATGTGTAAAGTATACATGAAACATATACATATAATCATTATATTTTGCTCATATCCCTCCCTGCCCCCACCGCAGACTTTCTGTCCTTTCTCCCCTCTCTGACTGATCCCTTTCTCCTTCCCAAATGGTCCACCTTCTGCTGAATAAAATTGCATTGTGTGTATATACCACATTTCTTTATACATCTCTTGATGGACATCTAAACTGGTTCCAAATCTTGACTATTGTGAATTGTGCATTGGACTTTCATGTTTAGATTTCAGTCTCCTTTATGATACGTTATTATATATATGCAAGTATTCAAAAAAAATCTCAAGTACTTATGATAACAAGCATCTTTGTTTTAAATTTATTTATTTTTATTTTATATGTATGAATGTTTGCATGCATGTATATAAGTGCACCCATGTGATGCAATGCGCATGGAGGTCAGAAGAAAGTGTCAGAACCCTTGGAGTTACAGATGGTTGTTAGATGCCATGTGAATGCTGGGACCTAAACTCAGATTGTCTGCAAGAGCAGTCAGTGCTCTTAACCTCTGAACCATCTCTCCAGCCCCATAGCAAGAATCTTTGAAAAGGGATACTCAGTCTGTGTGTGTGTGTGTGTGTGTGTGTGTGTGCGCGCGCGCGCGTGCATGTTAGAAAAGTTGTGGCAATGTGAGAGCTGAACGTTTGCTTCATTTTCTTAGTGTGGTGAAACTATCCAATATAAAATTATCTCTGTTCTTTTTGAAATGTGCAGACTTGGCATTTGGCTGTTTATGTCTGAAATGCCCTTTGGGACGCTGTCTGTCCAGATGCTATGGAAACTCTTCTACCTCATGCACCAGGTGGACAGTGGGGATCTGCAGCAGCTCTGCTTCACCCTGCAGCCAGCTGAGTGCAAGAGGCAACTTCAAGGTACAACTTGATCAGGGCAGGCAGTGCCAGCTTTCTCTGCCTTTGTGAACTTCTCTGTCATGGTTTTAATTCTGCTTTTAGACACAGTAGGGCATAGTGATTTTTGAAGTTCAAGAGACTACTTTTCTTTGTTAGGATTTGTTAGGTAGAAGATGGCATATCTGAAATCCAAATGTGATTAGTTCCAAATAGTGTGTCAAAAATGCAATGGTCTAATTTTTATGAATTCTTTCTTTGCATATGTAAAATTATTCAAGTCAGATCAATAAGTGAGGTTAATTGTCTGGAAATGAGTTAAGGTTTTGTGCCCAGTTCTTCCACTGAGTTTTCTTTTTTCTTTCTTTTTTTTTTTTTTGTTTCTTTTTAGTTGTATTGTTTTTATGAAGTAGATAAAGAGGTAGACAGATGTACCTTAAATTAATTTTGGGGTACTGGGAGTATAACTCAGTGGTAGAGTGTGTTTAGTATGTATGAGGTCCTGGGTTCAATCCTCAGCACCAACCAGAACAACAAATATTAATTTTGGTAAAGACCTGATTAAGTTTTAATGTCATACTGGCATTGAGCTATAGGATATTTGTTTGTGTTGTAATGTTAAAAATGAATAAAAATCAGACTAGTAGGATATAATTTTTTTTTTTTTTTTTTTTTTTTTGAGGAAGGTCTTTTTGTAGCCCCAGCGGTCCTGGAACCCCCTGGTTAAACCAGGCTGGCCTTGAACTCACAGAGATCTGTCTGCCTCTGCCTCCCAAGTGCTAGGACTACAGGCGTGTGCCATCATGCCCGGCTTAGGATATAATTTTTAACAGTTACTCTGCATATTAAGGAAAATCTGGTATAAAACAACAGAATATTAACAGGATTCAAAACATACCAAAATTTGTTTTCTAAATTTCCAAATCTCTGCATTGCTTAAAAGAAAACCACTCTTTAGAAAACAAACAACAGAAAAATCAAACCTGTATTATATGCAAAGTAATTTTTGCAGACATTCATTATTTTTTTTTCTTTTTTTCTTTTTCTTTTTTTTGTCTTTTTGAGACAGCTCCAGATGGCCTGGAACTCACTATATACACCAGACTGGTCACAGTCTCACAGAGATCTGCCTGCCTCTGCCTGCCAGGTGCTAGAAGTAAAGATGTGCACTACCATTGTTATTTTTTTTCTTTACTAGATCGATGTCTTTATTTTTCTCTTTCCACATTTATTCCTATGTGTATGTGTGTGTGTGTGTATGTGTGGTGTGTCTATGTGTGCCTATAGGTATGTGTGTGTTTGGGATGTGTGTGTCTATGTATGTATCTATATGTGTGTGTGTATGCAGGTATGTGTTTGCGTATGTGTGTGTGTCTGTTTTGTGTATGTGTGTATTTGTGTGCTTGTATATGTGTGTATGTATGGATATGTGTGGATATGTACTTTGCAGGAATCCAGTTTAGCTAATTTGTCTTTCTGCTGTGAGGTTATTTATTTATTTATTTGGTCTTTTTGAGACAGGGTCTCTCTGTAGCCCTAGCTGTCATGGAACTCACTATGTAGACCAAGCTGGCCTTGAACTCACAGAGATCCCCTTGCCTCTGCCTGCAAAGTGATGGGATTAAAGGCGTGCACCACCATGCCCAGCCTCTGCTGTGAGCTTTTTACACTGCTTTGTTTCATAAGATGCTTTTTCACTGTCCTGGGGGAGGTACTTGCATTAGTTTGCTACCATAGTTGGATATGGGCTTCTAGGTCTGACTTGTGTTTTACAACCTTTGCTCCCTGCCTACAGATTTTGTGGCTGAAATAGTAAACACGGACAGTTCATTGTAGGTGCCTGGGATGATTAGCATCATGGTTTCCACAGTTTAGTCCTTTTTAGGTCTCCTCTGTAATGCCATCTTCCTCCACCCAGATGCTCAGTTAACAAGCTGAGGCAGTTGTAGAAGCTGTGTAGCTCAGCTGTGCAATGGATGTGACTCTAGGCCATGAAGAGGCAATAGTAGCCTAGCCTCTCCATGGAGCATTAGGTTCTGGGCAAGAAGTTGTCTATCTGGACTTTAGTTTCCTGCAACCCTTCTGTCTTTCCTTCTCATGCTAAGGCTAAATGCTAAGGCTTCTGTCTTGATATGTGTCTTAAAACATTCTAAGCTGGAATGATAAATCTTATTGTCATTATTCTGAGAATGTTCTAATATAGTGATTTGTATTATAAATCCAAATTGGTGATAGAAAATGAACATTAGTTTGGTGAGTATAGCGCAAAGTTATTTGAAAATATAAGAAATTTGGTGAAACTATCTTTGGTTTTTCAGATGTTTTAATGCAAAAGAATTGTTGACTTGTTGCATTATTTCTTTAAAAAATTCTATCAGAAGAATGCCTTCCTCCTTTCTTTTTAAAAAAGATTTATTTATATATTTATGAGTATGTATGTGCATACCATGCATACTATGTCTGCTGGAGCTCAGACAGTTGTGAGCTTTGTGTGGGTGTTGGGAACTGAACAGGTCCTCCGCAAGAGTAGCAAGTGCTCTTAACCACTGAGCCATCTCTCTAGTACCCCCCCCTTTTTTTTGTCTTTTTGAGACAGGGTCTCCCTGCAGTCCCAACTGGCCTGGAACTCAATATGTAGACCAGGCTGGCCTTGATCTTAAAGAGATCTGCCTGCCTCTGCCTCCTGAGTGGTTGTAGCAAATTTTTTATCTCTAATTTCTGTTCATGAGCTAATTACCTTTACTTGGATTGCCATGTTTGTGCTGAGTTGTTTGCTGCCTTCATAGTTTACATTTATATTGTCTGCATTCCTGTGGCTGAAAATCACCCAACAGATTCAAGTGTGTCTGTGGAGTTGGCAGTGCTGTCTGAGACAATGCGGAGATACTAGTGACAGTAGTAGTGCTATGCAGTTCACAGTGCACTTCACCAGTTACACGCAAGTCAGTGGTTTTGTTTGTTTTTGTTAGCCTCCTGAGTAGATGACTTGCACCACTGTTCTCTACCTCATTTAATTTTATTAAATGACTTTTTGAGACAGATGAGGCATAGTTTAATGTTAACTGTCTCCGCTGAGTCTACATTGTATTTGAGGTTGTGTTGGAATTTTTAGGGCCCATCTCATCCAGCCTTCTTCCTGATACTCATAGAGAACCATTTTGGAACAAGGAAGAGTCTTTGTATCTTTAAATATTTGTAAATTTCTTATATTTCTATCTTCTTTCTTTCTGATAGAGCAATTAAAGTACATGAGCTTATTCTTTCTCCCATTTTAATTTTCTTGATTTGATATGAACTTGCAGATCCAGAACACTTTGGGAACTTTGAGAAGTGTCTTTCTTCCATGAACAGCTCAGAAGAGATTTGCCTTCTAACTACATTTGCTCAAATGGCTCGGGCCAGAATAACCAATGTGGATGAAGACTTCATCAAAATTATTGTTCTGGAGATATATGAGGTTAGAATATGAAATTTTATGAGCCTTTTCTTTTGGATTGTTCACCCATTCTTTGGTATTGCTTTAGAAAAACGTGGCTTACTGAGCTATTACTGCCTGCACTTGTGGATGGGGATAGAGATTCTTTTTAATTTTATTTTATTTATTATTTTTATTTTATATGTATGCATGTATTGCTTGCATGTAGGTAAGTGCACCCGTGTTGTGCAGTGTCTGTGGAGGACAGAAGAGGCTGTCAGATCCCTTGGAACTAGAGTTACAGACAGTTGTTAGCTGCCATATGGGTGCTGGGATTTGAACCTGGGTCTTCTACAAGAACAGTCAGTGTTCTTAACCACTGAGCCATCTCTCCAGCCCTGGGGATAGAGATTCTAAGAGCATCATTTTTCTAGGAGAGTTTCAAAGCCATGTATTATGTCATTCCATATGTGTGTTTGGTAAGAAATGGACAATCTAGTACAGCCTGGCATTAGTAACTTTTATTCTAATTCCTTTACTATTCTCTCACACTCTCAGTGCTACTCCTTTACTTCTGCCAGTAACATGGAGAGTGACTTCTAAGCCAGTTTAAATGAGGTGGTAGATAACATTGAAATTAGAGACGAGTTTTGGTTTAGTTGCCATCTTATATCAGAAAATGTAACTTAATACTCTGGCTTTCATTTCCTCATCTACTCATGTGAAGGTGAGATCCTTGAATTTTTCAGTTTTTCTCTGTACCATCTTTAATGGTGGAAGAGAGTGAACTTTGGTCCCTTGAGAGTATAGGGACTAGCCCACTGTGGCTGTATTTCCATGGGAGTTCTCTGTGCATCTAGAAATCGACACAAATTTTGCCCTTTATCTTAATGAAAAATGTTTCCTTCCAAGTGTTCGGGTATATATAAGTAAAATTATGTGTGAAGGATTCCCTTTGAGTTTATCATCCTCTCCCAGTGCTCTCATTTGAGAATGACAGACATGGATATCCTAAAGTTCTTTTCTGCATCAAATACTCTCTTTAGCCATTCTTCTACTTACACTTTGTATCCAGCAGGTGCTTTAAGACTTCTGTGCATACGGAATTCCAGACTGTCTTCGTGGTCTAAAAATATTAGGGAGAAAAGATGTATTTTTACATATACTAGATGACATCTTCAAGATCTAATGCTAGAGTAATAATTATGCTCTTGACCAATTATCAAAAACTATATTCTGTATCTATGTGAAATTGAAGCAATATTTAATTTTCCTATGACATACTCCAGGTTTTCTGTTTTTTTGTTTTTTTTTCCCCTTATGTTTCTGTTCTGTTGTATTAAAAATACTGGCCCTTGGCATTAACAGATTGTAAATTCAAGTTTCAAAGACATGGTTTTAAAGGGATTGGTTAACTCTGACATTTCAGAAACTCTTAAGTTTAGGGATTTCATTTGGAGGGATTATACATTTCTATGGAAATATATTCTGTTTTTTAAAAAATCATTTTCAGTGATTTCCCCAAATTTATAAAAGTTTTGACACCCAAAGGACTGTTGCGTTGCTAATGACACTTTGGGTTGTACTTTCTCTTTTTGAGATGGGATCTTGCCATGTTGCCCAGGCTGGCTTCAAACTCCTGGGTTCAAGTGATACTCCTGTGTCAGCCTCCCAAGTGTCTGGGGCCACAGGCTTGTGCCACTGTGCCTTGCTGGGATATCCTTTTGAATCCAGCACTTAAGCTCACTATTAGAAATTGTCATCCTTTCCTTCATTCTCTCTGCAGCCTCAGGGTGGATAGTTTGCCATCTGAAGTCCTGACATAGTTTTGAACATGGTGTGAACTGAAGTGCAATGTGAGATGCTTTCTCTTTTGTGGGAAAAATTCATGGAAATGTGTTTTGGCTGATAATAAAAATACGATCTTTCCTTTTACCCTCCCTGCTCCCCTTAGGTATCTTATGTCACCCGGTCTACCAGAGAGACCTTTTCAAAGGTTGGTCGAGAGCTTTTGGGGGCCATCACAACTGTTCACCCTGAGATAATTTCTGTCCTTTTGGAGAGAGTACGAGAGACCATTGACCAGGTTGGAATGGTAAGAATGTTGACTGTCTGCTGCTTTTGTCATTAAAAAAAATCCTGAAGAAATAGAGCATTGGCAAAAATGGGAACGCTGTTGGGAATGACTGTGGCACTTAAGGATATAGTAGGATGAAAAAACATGGCTACTTTTACTGTGGTATACTCTGTCCTGAACCATGCCAACTTGGGGTTGGCTACTACTTATATACAGCTGTAGTTGATTCCCTCTCCTCTCCTCAGAGCTGCCCTTCCTTCCCACTTCTTTTAGTAACAGAATTGAATTTTATCTAGATATTAATTAGTACTTTTTATTTCATAATTTGTTTGGACTTCCTAATTTTTTTTTTTTTGTCTATTTGAGACAGGGTCTCCCTGTAGCTCCAGCTGGCCTGGAACTCACTATGTAGACCAGGCTGGCCTCAATTTTAAGAGATCTGCCTGCCTCTGGGACTAAAGGCATGTACCTCCTTATCCGGCTTGGACTTCTTAATTCTTTTTTTTTTTTTGGTCTTTTTGAGACAGGGTCTACCTGTAGCCCCAGCTGTCCCCAAACTCACTATGTAGACCAGGCTGACCTTGAACTCACAGAGATCTGCCTGCCTCTGCCTCCCAAGTGCTGGGACTACAGGTGTGTGCCACCATGCCCGGCTCCTAATTCTTTTTTTTTTTTTTTAATTTTATCTATTATTTTTTAAGTTTTTATGTGTATGAGTGTATTGCCCAAATATAGGTTAAGTGCACTCATGTCATGCAATGCCTGTGGAGGTCAAAAGAGGATGTCAAATCCCCTGGAATTGGAATTATGGATGTTGTTAGCTGCCATGTGGGTGCTGGAAATTGAACCTGGGTCCTCTGCAAGAGCAGTTAATGCTCTTAACCACTGAGCCATCTCTCCCGCCCTGGACTTCCTAATTCTTAGATTCTACTCTTTGAGGAAACAACAGTAACTTAAAAAAAAAAGACCCGATTGAAATTAGTCTCAGATATAAATTTAAAAGTTGGAATTCAAGTGAGCATGAAACAGATGTAGCTTGTTTTTACCATTTGTTATAGTCAATCCCTTTTGCAGTCTTCATATAGTTTTAAAAAAGACTTTATTGGATATAATTCTTCTGCCATAGAATTTACCTATTGATGATGTACATGCCATTGGTTTTTAATTTATCCACAGATAGATGCAACCTTCATAACAGCCAATTTTTTAGCATTTTTATCATCTCATAAAGAAAGTTTGTGAAACACCTTAGCAATAATTCTCTGTTCTTCATCCTCCTTGGCCTAAGCAACTACTAATCTGCTTTCTGTTCCTACAAATCTGCCTATTTTAGACAGTTCATATAAATAGGATCATGTAGTGGGTGGTCTCTTGTGACTGGCTAATTTCACTTTGCATAGTGTATTGTAGTATGTGTCAGAATTTCTTTCCTTTAAAATCTTGAGTAATATTTCATCATATTTATGTATCACATTTTGTTTATTATCAGTTGATGAGCACTTGGTTTGATTCCAGCTTTGGGTATTTATGAGTATTGCTGTTTGAACATGAACATAAGTGTACTAATATATTTGTGTGTGTGTGTGTGTGTGTGTGTGTGTGTGTGTGTGAAGGGTGGATTGTGTGTGCCACAGCATCTCTGTGGAGATCAGAGGACAACTTTTGGGGATTGGTTCTCTCCTTCTACTTTGTGGGTTTTGGGATTGAGCTCAGATTGTCAGGTTTGATGGAAAATGGCTTTACTTGCTGAGCCATCTTAGCTGCCTTGCCTTCTTTTCTTTTGGAGATATACCTGGAAGTAGAGTTGCTGGATCATGTAATAATTCTGTTTTAATTTTCTGAGGGACCACCATCTTGCTTTCTATACTGGAAGCACAGATATCCTTTTCTCTAAAAAAAACATTGCATCCTACAATTGTATTTGTAGTGATAATATGGGGTTATTTTTGTTTGTTTTGTTGAGACAGGGTCTCCCTGTTGCCCCAGCTGGAACTGGCTATGTAGACCAGGCCAGCCTTGATCTCTCAGAGATCTGCCTGCCTCTGCCTCCTGAGTGCTGGGATCAAAGACATGCACCATCACAACCAGTTTATAGATGATAATGTGGAAGTTAGATTTTCAGTACAGTTTAACGTATCAGTAAGATTTTGGTTACCTCATTTTGAGTGATTTTCTAATGGAATGATTCCAGAGAAGTGCACAGTGAGCCATGTGATTATTTCAGTTGGTTGAGCTCATCGTGTTTTCTACTCAAATGCATCCCTGTTTTGGGTAACACTTCAAATTTTAATTTGATCATAATATTTCTAGTACTAAACCATGTTGAGAAATATGTTTAATAGGGAAATGTAAAAACTGAAACCATGATTTTTTTGAGCACATCTATAAAATACCTTAATTCTTTTTGTCCCTCATGGTGCTGGAAATTGAACCCAGGGCCTTTTACATTCTAGACAAGCATTCTCACACTGAGCTATATTCTGAAACCAAGGTACTTCCAATCTTGATTTATACACAGAATTCTGTTGTGTTTTGTGAACTTACTGAGGATTTTGGAGGAACTTATTGAAGCCCATTATGTATTCATATAAAATGAGACTTCAACTTTGAGTTAGCTTGATCCAGATTCTATTTTCAGAACCTGAGACTAAGCTGTGCCTGGAGGCCTTGAACATTCACTGAAACATTTAGGGTGTGTTTGAAGATAACTTTCTGAGCTAGAGGCCCAGCAGGAGAAGGCATGTCCTATTTGGAAATTGCTCTGGATGAGGATAGATATTGGTAAAGTCCAAGTTTTTGAGAGAGGGCCCAGAGCATAGAACTGAGAAGTATACGTATCCTAATGACAGTCTGCAAATTGGTGCCATCTTCTTTTGGTCCTATTTTGTGATTTCAAAGATTAACGTATTCAGAAGGCACGTTTTACTTTTGTTTGTGAAAACCATGTATCTTTTCTGTAACCTCTTATAGTAAAATTAGTGATTTTTTTTGTCTTTCAGTGAAATTACCAGTTTATTTGAAGAAGATAAATATTTTGTTTTCTAGTGTGTTTACAGAACTATTGCTTTACTGTATAAAAATAGTACCAGCCAATATGTCATATTGTAAAAGTAAGATAGTACTGTCCATCCTACCCTATATAGTGCACATTTTCCTGCTCTCTCAGGCATTTCCAATGGGAAGATCATTAAGTTTTCTGATCTAAATCCAGGGATGGATATAGGCAAGTTATAATATTATGTGAGATTTATGATAGCTTTTTTATCATGAAAGATAAAATTCTTTCTTAAAAAATATTTTATTTTTATTTTATATGTATGAGTGTATTGCCTACATGTGTGTAACTGCACCCGTGTCATGCAATGCCCATGGAAGTCAGAAGAAGGTGTCAGATCCCCTAGAACTGGAGTTATGCACGGGAGTTA